GCGTACGTAACATAGTTAGAGTCATTTTTTAAGTTAAATAAATTTGATAAAATTATGTATATTTTTTTAAATACAGTTTTCTGTTACATTATGTTTCAAAAATTGGTGTGCTTTCAGTATTTTTGATTTTTCAATACTTATTTAGTTTTTCCTTCTTTCATTCAGCCGCTTATAGAAAGTAATGAAGATATCGTTTGTAAAAAAAAATAGCAAAAATGACAATACTAATAGTAAGTTATGATCAAGGCCACGTAATTTAAAGTACACGCATTAAAGATCTTTACAGGAATTTTGTCTATGGATAAATATTCTGTGACATAAACGTCAATGCTTCCAACAAAGATATCTCACCTTAAATATAGTATTCAATGCTTCTGTGATAACACAAACATTTTTGTACTATGAATAGAGGAGAACTGAATACTAACAATGGCGTTGAATGAAATTTCCATCTTTATTATACTATGGTAAGCTTCTTAGTTACAAACATATACTGTTAAATTAAATTGATATAAAAACGTCTTAACTGTTTTAATATTATTACAACGATATTTGGTTTCATGTCGTATGATTACTAGTAATATTTTACATATATTAATACACCTTACGTTCCTTAGGTTAAGTTCGTAATGGTATACGTGCAAGCGTATTTTGTCTCTTACTACATTGTATTTTTAATATTTGTACGCAGAATATCAACATTTTACATTACATTTATATTAAACTAACACAGTAATTGATACTATTACATATATTTACAAATTAAATTACAAATTCTTTCAATGATTGCTATCAAAATATCTAATAATGAATATGCTATTATTTACGTGGAAAGAGTATTTTAAATGTCGTCGGTTCAGATGAATTCAATGATTGAATCTTTGACATTTTCTGTGAATAAGGAGTGTATTATAATAAAATTAGAATACATCAGTTTTTGTTTGCTAACAGGTTTACATAACTTGACATACACCTTACCTGCTTTTAATAGCAGGTAGACGAATGATTAACTGCGCATCTCTCGTGCGCATCGTAAACGACATGAGTTAGAAACAGTCTGGTAAAGGAACCTTCCCCACCGTCCATGTATACTATATATGTTGAAGAATGAGCTGCGTCTAAGAATTTAAAAATGGCATTACCTGTTGAATCTGAAAAAGGCTTAGAATTTGTGATAAAACATTTAATCGCTGGCGGTGAGTTAGTATCAAAATATAAACTTCTTTCATTTATATTATTATATTATATTAATTACATATTGTTTTCTTTTCATCAGTAAAATTTTAATTTCTCTTTGTAACATGTACTCTGAAAAAGATTTTATGCACTTCTAATATTGTTAATTACAATCATGGTATCTATTCTACAGGTGTAGCTGGGATGTGTTCAAAAACAACTGTTGCTCCATTAGATAGGATAAAAATATTATTACAAGCTCACAATAAGCACTATAAACATTTAGGTAATACTTATTTTATTAAAGGAGCAGACTGAAAATTGTATGAATTAAAATTTTATATTAATTTATTATTTTAGGAGTTTTCTCAGGACTGAAAGAAATTATTCGCCGCGAAAAATTTATTGCTCTCTATAAAGGAAATCTTGCCCAAATGATTAGGATTTTTCCATATGCTGCAACACAATTTACATCGTATGAACTGTATAAAAAGGTACTTAGTAAAACTCTTTTATTGGTATGTGTCAAAATAGTTTCAAAAATAATACTATAAACTGTTATATTGTGATATTCTTTTAAAACAAAAAATTCCAAGATATACTTATAGTTACAATAACTGTTCATCCCGTCACAATCACATTTAGATATTTGAAGCAAGGGAGACAATTATAACTGACAATGCATCTGAAAATTATTCTTTTAAAAAACAAATCTTAATTTATAAATATAAATATTCTGTGTTAAAAGAATTATTCTCTTCAAATGATGTCAAAATGTTGATGAGATCAAAATATGATAAATTTTATGCAAAATTAAGAAATACTTATTATTTGTTCTGAACTTTTTCGGATGTTAATATGTTTTGCTCATTGTTACTAAACTGAAGTGTACAAATATTATTTTTGGAACTATGAGTTTATGAGATTTACCTTTTCTTTAATTTTATTCGTAATGCATTTGTTTTTGCAAATAAATTTTTATTTTATCTCGAAAATTATTTTTCTAATGCACAAAGTATAAATTTTTATTTTTAGTTTTGATATAAAACAAATGAATTTAAAAAATTTGAAAACAATCGAATTCCTGATAAAATTCTTACTTTTATTTGTGAAAAATGATGTATAATGTCTATAAAGATAAGCAGATTCCCAATGCTAAAATGAGGCTACAGAAATAGATTGTTAAAAGAAAGTATTTTTAAATATATAATAATTTTTAAATAGACAAAATTCCATAAACACTAAGTAACATTTCATTTTCACTAGCGCCTAGCAGCTATACCTGAGATGCATCTACTTTCACATGAATTTGTGGCTGGATCTGCTGCTAGTCTTACAGCAGTTACATTAACATATCCGTTAGATACTATTAGAGTTAGACTTGCTTTTCAAGTCACTGGGGAGCATCTATATACAGGAATTGTCAATGCAGGAATTATAATGTTCAAGCAGGTATTTTTATTATTGATCATTCTTATGAGTTCTTTAAAAAAGTTATATATTAATTTTAAATGTATTAACAAAGTCCAAGGCTAGGTACACACTTGGACGTTGAATATTCTTTGTTACATATACAGGATGACATGTACTATTTCATACCATGTAATTATTGTTTGACAAATTTGTTCGTATCACCGATACTTTTCGAAATAATTCGGTGTTTTTGATTCTGTCCCTATACATTTTTTTAAAACTAAACCTATTTTTATCTCGTAAACTATTTTGAGTTTTGGACCCATGTTCAGTGGGGTTTTTTACTCAGTTTAGTGAGTTGTACACGCCCTATCATTTGTGTGTAACAATTTAGTTACACCCTGTATATAAACATATATGTTAAATAAGATGGAATATGGTTAAGGTTAAGTTATTTTAAAATTCATTAATATGTGCGTTTCTTGCTTTAAACACATGTTGTGAATAATTTTCAAAACATGTGCAAAAAAATTATCATTTTAGAATATATTATTGACTTTCAGGAAGGTGGTATTCGAGCATTTTTCAAGGGATTTTGTCCAAACGTGATTTGCATTATTCCATATGGAGGATTGGTGTTTTATATTTTTGAGAAACTCAAATACTTATGCATGAAATATGCATCAAATTATCTTTGTAAAGAATCTGATAAGGCTGCTGGTATGGTATATATATGTTAATGTATATATATTAATGTTATTGTAATAATATATTAATAAATTCTTTTTACATTTTCATACATATTATTACAATACTTATTTTATAACAGGTGAACTAATTTTAACTATACCTGCAAAATTATTTTGCGGAGGTACAGCAGGAGCTGTTGGTCAAACTATTTGTTATCCTTTAGATGTAACTAGGAGACGTATGCAATTGGCTATGATGAATCCTTCTACGCACAAGTACAGGTAAATATATCTATTAAATGATTCATTCTGGAAGATTGTAGTAACTTTTTTTTTTATAGTAATAGTATGTTACAAACTATAAGAATGATATATCAAGAAAACGGCATTGTGAAAGGTCTTTACCGTGGGATGAGCATTAATTATTTACGCGCTGTTCCTATGTTATCGGTTAGTTTTACAACAAACGAAGTCATGAAACAAATTCTCAATTTGAATGTAGGAAAGAAATTATAATTTATTTTATATCATTCTAGCTATTTATAATGATCAAAACTTTCCGAGTAAAAGTACAATTAATAGACTAGAAATATTATATATTATGAATGCGTGAATAGTATTATTTTAATTGTAATTTAAAATATACCGAAATTTTAATATTTTATACATTTGTCAACATTCAGCGATAGTCACCGAGATATGTAATTTGTTGCAAGTAACTAATTACTTTCTACTATTACTAAATTGATAGCAATCGGTTTAATTGGACAATGAAAATAATATTTAAATAGAAAAGAATATACAACAGCCTCATTATGATTAAAAACAGAAAATAGAAACATAATAAATGTAATATAATCGTATGCTTAATAATATCGTTGAAATATTATATATAAGAAATAATATATTTTTGGTATGGGTATTTGTCAAAAGCATGTTAATTCAATATATCGATGAAAAAGATTTGTAAATAAAATATTTTACGGAATTTCTTGTAAACTAAAAATTTTAAAACAGATAAACTGTTAGAAAAAATCATAAAATATTAACAATTAATTTTGAACATATACATACATAAATATATCAATGGTAACTATAGTTCATTGAAGCATTTATATCAAATATTTATTTAAATGCATTGTTCGTTAACGTTTTTCCTGTTATTTGCGTTTTCATAATTCTATCGTAAATTATGTAATTTAAAAATTCATTTTATTTATAAAAATATTTCTATAATTTATTTTTAAATCTTTATTGTTGATAGAAATGATTATTTACTTGTTAGTCTTAATAATGTAAAAATAATGTAGAACTTTCTAAATATAATAACATTTCTTTATTTCTCTAGTTTCATTTATAATGAGACGACATAATATCAGTTCATAGCATACTGTTTTCCTTGCTTCAGTAACATCTGCCTAAGTACAGATCTTGCAAGTTTGTTCAATATGCATTATTCACTATTTTCATGGTACCCAAGGTCTAAAAAATAGGGAAGCATGTGAAAGTTAAAAACCAAACACACACATAATTCATAACTCTCGAAGTACTTTTTTGACTAATGTGAAGTGTTGTAAAAGATATCATAAAAGTTGTTATCCCAAATTGATATATACAAAACGTAGTACGCATCTTATACACAATAATTATATACAGGTACAAACTGATTGTGTTATTCCAAATTTATATACACAATAAACGTGTTTAAAGGTTGTAAGTTTTGAACTGAGTTTATGCATATGCTTTCATTATCAATTCATTAATTTCCAATAGAAGTGTATTTCCCTTAGATTTCCTTAATCCAAACCTATGGACATTTGGCATTCATCGCTAGAATTGGATTTGAATGAGGAAAATGTAAATGTAAGATTTTTACAAACGAATAAAGTGTGTTGATTTAACATCGGTGTCACATTATTTCAAATAAAAGTTGATAATAACTCAAAAGTAGTAACTTACAAGTCTTGTCTCAAATCTAACAGCCAGTATGTTTATCCTCGGTATTATAGATTTATTCATCGTATGAAATATGTACTTTAAGAAAAGAGAATAAATAGAGCAAATACAAAATTAACTATACAAGTTCTAAGATCTATTACTGGTATTCACGTAAGACTTACTTCTAATTAACTCAGTAGTTTTTGTTATAACAACTACGATTATTTTTAATTCTATGTAGGAAATTTTATTCTTAGTTTTTATAATCCAGTGAATGTGTTTAATACGTGATATAAAACAAAAAAAAAATGCTCGATCCTGCATCACGCAGAAGGGATTGCTGATGATTCACAATATTATTGTTTCTGTGCTACTTTCTTTTAGATTTACAATCTTAGTAAATTGCTATAATGTGCATCTATACATTCCATTTTTTCATCTTATTATTTCTACTGTATTACTTTATAATGCATATCCTCAAATTACATGCTTATTTCTATGAATATATGTATTTTGCAATTTTATCTGATGCTCGTGTATACAATTCCTGCGTACCGACGAATATGAATGATTTGACACAACACATTAAATCTGTTTGAATTGCATTACACATGTTTATTTACCAGAAGCATCATTTTATACCTATTAATTAGTAAAAAGGTGTTGATAGATTCATAAGCAGTTAACTTTCAATTTGATGATCGTGAATGCATGAATTCATTCAGTATAAAGTGAGTTTCACTTAGGAAATTACTACAGGATTGATGCAAAAGTGTTACTACTTACTTAAATGATTAAAAAAAGAAAAATGAGATGGCTCTGTCTTCAAATTTTGTATAAATATTTAACAACTGAATTTCGGCGTATAAATTTAGGAAATAAGAAAGAATAATAATATGATCAAAATAAAATAACCGCTAAATCATACATAATTAATCAACTAGTTGTATGTATAAATATTGTTACAATATGTATATAAAAATGTAATTTGCGAGATTCATATTTTGTATTCATTTAATAAAACAGTTGTATTAATAGTAACGAAATTGTTGTCTATTATAGTTCTTCAGAACTGTAATGTATAATGCTATGTTACATTAATAAAGGAATCTACTAAAAAATGTATTACATTGTTTATATGGCACAATTTGTATATGCCAACTTACTGTTGCATCAACCCTCTTTATATTCCCCTGAAGTGGAACATTTCATGCTCCATTCATATTAATTATATACGTGACACTCTTGTAAATATAAACTATGATCATTTTAGTACAGTTGTTGAAACCTTAAACAACATTATTTCTATTTAGTTCACGTGACAAATAGTTTTGTTCGTACAAACATTTTTCAATAAATTAATATTTGTTCAAGGTTTCAAAACAATACCATGTACATATTTTCGTTCGCACTACTTTTTACGTTCAATCCATGTATTATGTTCATATTTTTTTTGTTTCTTCGGTAATAAAAATACAAGCATTACAATGAAAGTTGTAGAACTCAATGCTATACGTGAATTTTAATTGGTACATGTGTACATTATTGTTTGTTTTTCCTTTTATGTATACAATTAATGTTGTGTCTAGATGTATGGTGTTGGACACATGTAAAATACGCAGATGTGTGTTTTGTCTCTAAATGAGACACCACGAAGTGAGTCATGATATAATACTTGAGACTATATATGATGTGTAAGGATAGCTGAAACCTTACACACTTATTGATGTTCTATCCATAAATTATTTTCAGTGGCATCGCTATAAAGCCTGAATCATTTCCATACCCCAATTTTAATATTTAATTTTGGAGTATGATTCTTTACAAGAAATAGTCTGGTGTCCGCCTAGTAACGTGTGGTTCTCCGCGTCTTGGAGCTGGGTCAAATTGAAGGCTGGAAAAAGTAATCACGAATGTTATCTATTTTGTTTTATGCTACACAAGTTTCAGTTTAACTTACAATGAATATTTTAAAGCATCGTCTAATTCCATGATTGCAGCTTGATTTCCACAACGATAGCAGTAATTAGGTGCTGAGAATATAGTTACAACATTACGATCATGACACCTGTAAGAATACATACAAACCATGGTAAGTATACTATGCAAAATATTAAGTAAGAACTACATGTATATGTATAAAGCGAAATAACAATTAAATAATTTGAATAAATGTACCAGTTGTAGCCTTCCATAACTAGTTGATGTGCTCGCGATACCAATGTCAGGCCATTAGAATGATTAAAAGTTTCTGAAATGTCTTGTCCGAAAGTATATCCTGCTCCACGAGGAGAAATACCCCACCCTCCTCTATCATCCGGGTCTGACCATAAAAGATCGCACATTGGACCCTATATAAAATACAAAAAGATTATTATGCATTATTCAATTTATTTTTTTATTTTAAGAACCAAAAATACCAACCTCATGAGGTACTTCCTGAATACGATCTAGTGCACGTATATGATCTAATGTATCAATCGATGGTGATAAACCACCGTGCAAACAAAAGATTTGGCCATCTACCAGTGCAGTTAACGGTAAATAGTCAAACAAGTCTGTAAAGAACTTCCATACATTGGCGTTACCATATTTACGTAAACATTCATCATAAAATCCATATACTTGTGTGATTTGTCTCGATTCATGATTACCACGTAAAATTGTTATTCTCTCTCTATATCTGACCTGTATTTGTACACAAAGTATTTGAAACATTTTATTAAACTTCACCTACTTTTTATATTTATACTACACCTGACCCTCAATTTACATGAAAATCCATTCCACATGGTTTCGTTTTATGCAAATGAAAATTGCATAAATAAAGTCTCTGTTGGTACAAGAAAAAACAAAATATTGGAAAGAAAAGCTGGTATAAGTTTTAGAGATACAGATTTATTTCAAACAGCCAAACAAAAGAAATAATAATAAAGACATTTCAAAAAACAGAAGTACATTTTATCCAGTGTAACTAAATTCAAATCATATAGATTAAGACTGCTCATAAAAACTACTGCATAAATAATGTTCTAATTTACATGTAAAAGAGAAACTTGTGTAAAAAAGTTCCACGTAAATCGAGGATCAGGTGTATGTTAGTTTTATTAAATACATCCATCTATTATCTGTAGTAATCATACCTTGAGGGCAACTAACAAAGTAACAGTTTCAACAGAATAATAGCCACGATCCACATAATCACCCATAAAAAGGTAATTTGTATCTGGAGATTTGCCTCCTATTCTGAACAATTCCATTAAATCATGGAACTGCCCATGTACATCTCCACATACTGTTACAGGACATTTTACTTCTTGTACATTAGATTCTTTAGATAAGATTTCTTTTGCCTAAAAGCATAAAAATTCTCATTACCATTTATAGTTTTGAATGAAATATGCGCTTGACTTGATATTTTTCTATTGGAATTCATATAAATGAAGTATACTATTGTTTATATAAATAATTACATACCTTAATGATATGTAGATCCTAATAAATACTATAGGAATTATTAATAAAGAAATAAACATTCTTACTATACACGCATCTTATCTTATAATATACAAATAAAAGAAAATGATATTTATCGGATTATGGTTTTTTAAAAACATGAATATTTTATAACTTCTACAGAAAAGAATTTATCAGTTGTATCAATAAAATACATAAATGCTGACATTATTCTGTAATATTTAAATTTAAAATATAATATTAGGTATAACACACATTTGTAATTTTTTTTTACAATAAATAAACCTTTACCCACAACAAATTTTGACTGTTGAACGTCACATTAATTAAAATTTTTTAAATAATAATTTATTTGCATTCAATGATAATGAATACTGAATTGTAACATGTATACATACATTGTAAAATTACAGGTGCAAATGATTTCCATGTAAAATTATAAGTGCACACAAAGGTAATCATAATACACAAAATTGACACACATTTCATATACTTGATGAAATTCTAATCGAAAAATAGCAAAAATAGAATTGTCGCCTATTTAATAAACCAGACAGTATAACAGATACGAACAAGTTGCAGCGGAGGCTCTAATAGTAGTGAATACGATGGTTGAACATCTGATCACGATTAAAATACGAATTTTTATTGAAAACTGAAGTTTGCTCAGAGTAAATCATACAATGTTGATAATTTTTTTTCCTCAATCTACAAGGTATTCAAACGTATCGCAATGAAATTTGCAATGACATGTCAAGCCATGCTTAGCGGCATCGTAAAGTACCACTAAACGAAGGTGAAACGGCACATTAGAATTGATCGTGGATGCAGCGAAAGATATTATGGTTAAGTAAGCACAGTAAAATAGGCAAACAGATAATTCAAGACGGTCGCGTACCTTCTCGCACAGAGTTTTCACTTGGCTTTCTGTTAGTTGTTGGCAGTCATTTAATTGTTCTATCCACTGGTCGAGCTCTTTCAACGACGCTTTTTCCTCCATCGTATGAATTTACGTAAAGTCCACGGATTCCCCGCGCCCTTAACACGTGTTATAAAAGTAAAGCGAATCCGTGTTGTAAACTAAATCATTCGGTTTTACTGGAAAAGCTTCTTAACACAAATATCCTGATGAAGCACACACTCACAAAATGGCCGATCGCAAGTACTGACGATGACGTCATACTCAATTCATGCGTGCTTCGCTAACTATACCTGGATTACCATACTGACCAATCACCGTTCGCGTTGATCTCAACTTATCCAATCATGCGCCGACTTTCCTCTTGTCGCGTGCGTTGAACTGTTGTATATTGTGCGACTATGACTGCATCGTTTTAATGACGATGATTACGTTTCTCTTAGAAACATCAGACTTTCTTTGTGACGTATAAATATTAGATAAAAATTTATTAGAATAATAAGAATGATTAAGCACGATATATTTAGTAATTTCGAAAGTAGCACACTGATCTAAATGTGTCAGTTTTTCATGCATTCAATTTCAAATATTAACAGTCCGAGCTCACATGCAAACGCTGAAAACCGATTTATTCTGTTAAAATTATTATCAATGTTTTTAAACTTACATATTTAAAAAATTTGTTAGTACACCGTTTAAAATATTTGTTCTAAATAATTAATAACAAGCAATTTGTACATTTTCACACATTATTTATTAAATTTTATATAGAAAATATTTAATTTTATACCAGGATGTACAAATAAGGTGTGGAATTTTATTGTTATAATTAACGAAAAATATTTTGTTGATTGTGTAAATCAAAATTACAAGTATTATTAAATTTATAGTTGAAATTGAATTATCTTTAGTCACAGGTATAATTAATATTATAAAATTGATTCAGTAGTAATTGAATAATACATTTAGTGAATGTAAGGCACTTAACAAATATATATGTATACAATCTTAATATATTTCTTGCATACATCAATAAACACAAAATTACACTCCAGATTTGTATATTATTCAGTGGAAGTATGTATAGCACTATAAAATTCAATTTAATTAAAATGTTAATAGTTTACACATGCAGTAAATAGTTTGAAGGAATTACTGTGATATTGAAATTGAAAACGATCAATATTATATATTTCAAAACAATTAAAGCACATCCTACAAATGAATATAATTTATTCAAAATTCTGTACCTTTTACGACTAAGCGCAGTAATTAAGCTGCATTATTAAATCACAATATCGATAAGACTATTAATACAATGTAAACTATAAAAGAGAGGAATGTGCTCCTCACCGAAGAAATATTAATTATATTACATCTTCTATTAATAAAGTACATAATATGTTTCTAATGTTTTTTGTCTACCAAAATGATTTTTAAAATTAATGCAAAATAATTAATGATAAAGTCAACAGAAATACATTATTTTTTAATGATTTACTTAGTAACATTTTCATATTCATCTGCAAAACGTTGCATCTAGTTGGATGAGCCATGGTAACAATAATTTAATTTTTGTCCTATAGTTTGAATCTGCAGCAACAGGATTATGTTCTAAATAAACAGTCCGTAACTTTTTATTAGAAGTTAAGTTTTTTATAATTGTCCAATTTTCGATTTCATTATTATTTATCTGTGAAATATATTAAAAATTAGCAGATATTCAAATAAATATGTAATAAAGCTTATTCTTACCCAAAACTCCTCTAAATCTTCCAAATGATCGATACATTGAATATGTTTTATTTTGTTATTCGCTAAATCTAATGTAGTTAGTTTTTCACAGTTCGACAGTCCTTCTATGACAGTTATGCCATTTTCAGATAAATATAATTGATCTAGTTTCCTTAATTCTTCCAGATTTTCTATTCGTACAATGCGATTACTTTGGAGACTTAATAACTGAAGATTTTTTAAAGATCCTAGATTCTCAATCTTTGTGATCTTATTTTTTCCAAGAAACAAAGTTGTTAAATTTTCAAGTCCTTCAAGATTACAGATTTCTCGTATTTTATTGTCACCTAACTCGAGAGTTTTTAAATTTTTTAGATGTGACAAATTTTCAATGCACTGAATCTTATTAGATGACAAGTATAAGTTTTGCAAGTTCAATAAATTTTCCAATCCTTCTATCTTTTTAATTCGATTAAAAGATAGGTCTAAAAGCCTGAAATATCAAAGAGATGACTAAACTATTTATTATTTTAATTATTTTATAAGAAGCATTCATTATATCTTATAAATTACGTACTCTAAATTTACAAGAGCACTTAAATTCTCTATTGTGATAATCTGATTATCCCTCAATTCTAGTTCAACTAATGTTGTAAGTGTATCAAGATTTTCAATCTTTTTAATTAAATTCCATGTAAAACACAATTTGCGTATTTTCCATAATGGTTCTAAATTCTCTAATTTTGTCAACCTTGAATGATTGAAATCTAGTTCCTGAAATACAAATGAATGCGTTTATCTAGATGATGAATGTGTTAATAGACAAAGAAAAGTAACATTAAAGAAATTTTTAATGAAAACAAACTTCACTATCAGGATCTATAATAAGAATCTTCTCTGATTCATCGTTTCCATCATTCCCGTTTTCTCCTTCGATTTCAGCTGACCCTTCGTTTTTATGATTTTCTAAAACAAAAGTGCTTGCAAGTGTAATTGTACATTTCAATGTTGCCGATATTTACAGTAAATAATCACTGTACCATTGAGTGCCATTATCGTAGAATAAAATTAATGTAGGTTCACAAAATTTAGTACTTGCGGTTCAAAATGGTGTAGATAATACCAATTCTACTATTTAATGCAAATACCGTTTAAAATACGGTAGAATCTAATTCACTTGTGGTTCGTACACTTTGTAATTTTTACAGCGCCCTACATATACCAATTGTTATATCGCATGAATGACAATTAAGTAAATCATATGTATACTTTGCAGAACATGTCATTCGTTGTTCTTATACACACACTTTTTATGCTAAAGTATAGTTCATAGAAAATGGTCTGAAATTTTTGGGTAGTATAACAAATTTTAATTGTTACACTAACGAAATAGTGTTATTATATTCCCATGTAAATTTATTTTATTTTATGATTTTATTTTATCGCTTATGTGTAAACCAATCAATTTTTTACTACTTATTTGTTAAATCATTAAACACAATATATGAGACATAGTGATGTCTCATAGTAGATTCATTTCTTTAATATGAAGTACATCCCACTCATTGCTCCTAATATGGGAAAAATAGCTTTTGATGTTAGAGTTCTACTATCTATTATACTTGTAATGTATGAAAAGACAAAACCTGAATAAGACAGAACCTTTGTTGCAATGTTTTGCTATGAATTAGTTTTTTGACATGCCATCTTTGGTTTATAAGATACAATTCGCTTAAGACCGCTATTTTTAAATCTAGGTTAATAGTCCATTTAATTTTAAGTTGTTTTCTATTTAAACAAATTTATTTAATATATTACAATTCTAATAACGATAAAATGATAAAATTTATTTTTCCACAATAGAATGCATGACTTAAAATAATTCATATATTTTGCTCTTGATTTCTCTGAAATGATGAATCTAATTAACAAAAATAAATTTATGTTGTATTGTATACGAAAGAAACAAAAAGTTTAAATACCATCATTTTGAAAGTTTCATTTTTTATAAAGTTAGATGAAACTGCTTCTGATGAAAAGTGACTATTAAATTAATAAATTTTTGTCATCGAAAAGTGACTATTAAGTTAATAAATTTTCTTATTCTTATTTACTACGTGCTAAGATGTCCTTATTTAACGCTATTTCGTTTAACATAAAGTTAATTTTGATTTTTAAAAACAGATCTTGGGCGTTAATCGGAGTATTAAATATTAAGTATTTAATTACGAATTTTCTGTTCAATAAGAAGTTATTGAAAAATAACATTTAAAGTATCAAATATAATACAATATAGCGATATAGATTAGATAATACGCTTTATCATAGTTTTATTTGTATATTCGACGCTTAGTTAATGGACAATTCAATCTAACAAATTTTAAAACGATGTAAACAAATCTATAACATAGAAGATTCTTAAAGAGATGAAACTCCAATGTTGGAGAACTAATTTTTAATGCACATGCCTATAGAAAGAAATGTTTCATAAATACAACTGCAGAACTACGCGATGTCAAATGCGTGTACGACTGCACACTTTTAGGAAATGAAGTGTACGTTATTTATTTACAGAAATTGTAAATTCTTCATATATAATTTTCTCAAATGGGTCAACTTCGAAACATATATTCGTGCTAATGATGTCATTTCTTTATAAACAACATCTCTATGGATAAATGTACTATGTATTTATTATTGCAGAATTTGGGAGTTGTATTCATGAAACACAACTTCTACGCATGCGCACTAAAAATTATTCTTAAATACCAGATTTTCTTCCCTGTAAAAATTCATTCTAACAGTAGCAAAAGATCTGTTCCACTCGCCACCTCTAATTTAATCGGTTACATGATTTAATTCGTTGATATTACCATATCGGTTAATAAAGAAAATACTTAGTTTGAATAGTTAATTTAGAGACATATTTCTTCTGTACTCCTATATTTTAACTTGTGTAGTATCAGTTTTGCCTAAGATTACACACAATATAGATAGGTAGTAGAGCTCAAACATAAAATAACATTACTCCCTTTCACCACATGGTGAGTTCTTCATGGTGGGGAAATGAACCTTTCGCTCAATGTAATAACAGTACAATTGTAAATACTCTTTTAATAATTTTTATAGAATTTTAAAAATATTTTCATTTTTATTATTTTTAAAACTATGGAAGAAATTACAAAACTTAATATCGTTACAAAGTGTAATTCAAATAAATTTTATGTAAAAATACACATATATTTTCATTGTTACTTTTAGAAAAGAAGGAATAAGAGATGTCAAGTAATTAAATTTATTTGTATATTAATCTTTTACGAGAAGTATGCGTGAAACATATTCAAACAAAATTGAAAAGAAAATTGGAATAATTCATATTCATTTTTCATCAATGAGTATTCCCATTTATGTATCATTGTCGCGTCCATGACTCGGATTAGTAGTCAGTCTAGTGAAGATGGCCGAAAACAATGGCACTGGTTATTGAGCTAACTTTGCGTTCTCCTGATACTTGTCAACAAAGAAGTTATCATTAATTAAAGCGTAACTGAAGCACACATCATAGTCACACGTGAGTACAGCTTCCTTTTTTTTGACCGGTGTTCTTCTAAATCTTAACCTTTTCAGTTAATATCTTTGGCATTTAATACTTAACGATACAGTAATCGTGCTTTTGATCTTTTACTACTGTCATCTCACGTCGTATTACAAAGAACGTTCCGGACTTACTTTAATGAATTTGAAAAATGTTTCCTTTTAATTTTCATTTTATGTAAGAACGGATTTATGAACTACTATTACTTGAAAGTGTTTCCGCATTTGCACGATGTATTAGTTTTAAAACTATTTAAAAAGATATTGGTCTGATTTACTCGGAAGCTCATTATTTCTTTAAACTAATGATATTGATCGAATATTAATTGAGATTGAATATTATAACAAATTTATATTCGAATAACTTTGACAATTTTGTTACGGCTACATAATAATACGAATTTTCGTATATTTTTTTTTGTATTACAT